TCTATATTTCCTTTATTTTTACACTTAAGGTCATTTGAGGATCTGTTCCTCAGATAAATGCTTTAAATCTTCATGATATATGGAAATTTGAACTTAAAATGATTGACAATTAATTCTAAAAGATTCATATAGTTTTAGCCCTGGTTTTTAGTGTTTATTTAGATATTGTCCTTCAAAGACGAGGCTAGAAAGGTAACCATTTATAAAAACATTAAGAGGAAGTATAAAGGAAATATAGAAAAATACCTAAAATTATGAAATGATGAAGTCAGTACAAATGCGATTATGTAAAAATTGATATGCAATTAACTTTCCCAGATCAACCATATAATAAAATTAAGCTTAATTTAAACAGTACCATAATTCTGCAATTGATGACCCTGGTATGAATCAAAGGACACTGACTGCACTTCAGGCTTCACATTTTAATATAAGTTGGATTTTTGTTTACTTGATTTATTTATTTAGTTTTTTGAGTTACTGGAGGCCAAACTGTAGGCTTCGTGCATGCTAGGCAAGTACTTTACCACTGAGCTACATTCCTAGTCCTAAGTGTATTCTCCTCCTTCTTCTTCTTCTTCTTCTTCTTCTTCTTCTTCTTCTTCTTCTTCTTCTTCTTCTTCTTCTTCTTCTTCTTCTTATTTTTATTTTTATTATTATTATTTGGTACCTGGCACCATTTTTTTTTAAAAAAATTAGCTTTCAATCATCATCTGGAAAGAGAACATTCTTAGTAACATCATTAAAAACAGCTCTGATAAAGCATGGTCACTACTACGCATCATAAAGTAGGTACAAGATATTTTACATTCACACAGGTATGATACAGTATTGTCCTATGTCTATGATATTAGAGGATACAATTTAAAAGTCATTATTTGAGACTTGATTCTACTTTTCTAACAGAGGGCCCAAAGTATGGTATAACACAACTCTGTAAAGAAATGTACTCTTAGACAGGATTTCCTTTGGTTAGTGGCACAGTTCTAAGTAGTCACTCTCTTCATGAACATCAGCTAAAATACGTTTTTAAAAAACAAAAAAACAAAAAACCACGGAGTGGGGGGAGACACCAGGAAAAAAATTACGCTAAAATAAAACTCCATAACCACTGGATTCATAAAGATGACCAGGTGGAGGCAAGCAAGGCTCAACCTCACTAGCACTTTACCCAATCTATCCTTTTGAATGGGGAGCGTTCCAGGGAAGAAGGGAGATGCCGAGCTTGAGTGCTTCTGACGACAATCGAAATGCAGCATCATTTCAGAAAGAAGCAGAAGCTAAATGTTGCTCATTAAGTTATATTATTTTTAATGAGGGAGATCTTTTTCTTCCTAATTAATATGTTGGGAAAGAACACTTTTCCTTTGTTGCTGATATGATGTTTTTTACAGAATTAAGGTTTTTGTGTTTTTTTTTTGTAGAAGTCACAATTTTTAACAAATATGTATTGAGTATCTACCTTTTTAGTCATTCTAGTTTAGAAACTTGGAATGTGCCTTGAACAAGATAGACATGTCTTTGCTCTTTGGGAACTAAGAGGTACACAGCAAATGAAAAGTTATGGAAAAACAACATGTATAAATACATTTGTCTGTTTTAAATTTACCACTCTGCCATTGATGGGGATATTACTAGACTGAGGAGCAGAAATGATTTGGGAACTTTTGTTGCTTAGATCAAAAGCAAAAGATGTTTACCTAATTCTTGGATGCAGTTCAAAGTTACTAACACCAGAGGGTATTCTAGACTTCTGTAAAAACTTTGATACAAGGACTTCAAGAGACAAAGGATATTTTAGGATCATGGCTAACATTTCAAAGCTGTGAAAACTGTAACTTTGCTCTCTTTTTTCCCTTATTTGATGAAAGAGAATTATACCTGGATAGATTTCCTTTATTAAATTACATTATAACATTGTAAACGTGTCAGTGTAAGTTGTTCTATTTAGCTGTTGTGGATTACTATGCATCACTTGAGTTAACACATGGGAAGCAATTCTTGTAGAGAAAAATGGTAATGGAATCAAGTCATTTTGGGATAGGAAACAAAACATGGCCCTTTGTGCTTCATCCAAATTGCTAAGTTGGATTGTTTCTTTATCTACTATTCTATAGAATCCTTATGTGTAACTGAGTAAAAAGTATAGTGAATGAAAAATGACAGATGCTTATCTGTTGTTACAGCTATAAATGTAGACTTCCCCGGGTATTTAATAGCCCTTGTTTTTAGGAATGTTTGAAGTTATCAGAAGATATCTTTAGCTATTTGGGGAGCCATTATTGGGAGTATATTGACCTAGGTGATATAAACAAAGTTACTAATTTTTCCTGTAGATTAGAACTTTCACCCTTGCGTTTAGTTAGTGAATACTTGTATTTCATCATTAGGATTAATCTTTTCATATGTAAGGAGCATAAATAAATTGATAGTAGCAGCACCCATTTTAAGTTCCCAGTAGTGTCAGGCACTGTTCCAACTACATTCATTTCTTATTTAGTTTATTTTGTGATGGTTTCTATTTTGAGTTTACTAAAGTAAGAGTTAAAAATATTATGTAGCATTTTTTTTTTCCTAAGGAATAAGCACAGTTACTAGAAAGAATCTTGAATGTCTAATTACTGAAATTAAAGGAACAGTTCCTGGACTTGGAAATGCGTGGTCTTTCACAATTTAGTGTTGTCTTCTGTGTTCCCCTGTTGGATGACACCTCTAAGTAAAGACCTTAGAGTCCTCCATCAAGCCTCTGTCTCATTTGCATAGGACCAACTTTTATCCGTCTTTCCTTCCACCTTCCAGTGTTACTACTTACCATCAGTTTTTTTTTTTTTTCTTCACTTTTTAAGACAGGGTCTCCCTGTAGACCTAACTGGCTTGGAACTCATTATGTAGACCAACTGGTGTTGAATTCACAGAGATCCTCCTGCCTCTGCCTCCCGAGTGCTGGGATTAAAGGTGTGCGCCACCATGCCCAGCCATGGTCAGATTTTGTAGCAGTACATTTTTGTCATTTGTTTTACTTAGTTGTCATTAATTTTACTTTGTGTTGACCAAGAATATGCCTTTTTAGATAGACCTATCTTCCGTCATATTTTTGAGTAGCTTATTTTGTGTTTGTTTACTGTTTTGTTTTTTTTTTTAAGATGTGAAAATTGGTTCACCTCTGTGGTAAGAATCTTATATGTAGGTCTTTTTTTCTCATTTCCATAGGACCGGATTTTAAAATTCTATGCACAGACTTTTACACTCTCACCGTTACATATGACCAAGGAAATTTATACAAGCTTAGGTATGTTTGTTAAATCACTTAAAATGTTTTACTTTTATCTGCACTTAAGAAAAGTGTATAAGAATGTTGGAGAGATGGCCAGAGGTTAAGAGCACTGGCTGCTCTTCCAGGGTATGGGAACCTGGGTGTGGTTTCCAGCACTCACATGGCAGCTAGCAATCATCTGTAACTACAGTTCCAGGGAATCTGATGCCCTCTTCTGTTGTCTGCAGGCATTACATGACATAGGTGCACTTACATGGAGGCAACACACTCATACACATAAAATAAAAAGAAAGGAAGAAAAATGTGTAAGAAATGAATTTTTCCAGAAAGTATCATATGGCTTAATGGTTATATATCTCCACTTTTTCTTTTCAGCAAAATATTTAGAGCTATACTTTCTTTCCAGAGAAAATCACATTCCTACTCTTTCAACTGGAGTAGACATAACTAATCCCAACACAATCCACTTACTTAAAAAGGTATGTTTACTACAATGTACTTTTATATAGTAGGTCTACATTAAAGAATTCTGATATTTTGAGAATTGTTGTGCACTGCTTGTAGGTTCGTCTTCTAAATGAGTATCAGAAAGAGGCTCCATCTTTCTGGATTCGTCACCCAGAGAAGTAAGTTCCCTTAACTCATATAAATGTGAAACAGGCTTATACCTCGTAGGCACTTTAAAGTGAGAGGGGAGAAGTGGTCTTAATTGGCCTACATGGAAGGAAGGTTTTCTTTGTTTCTTTTTGTTATATTTTGCTAGTGACTCTACCAAGGTTCCATTTTCTATGTCATTCACCACCACAATGTGAAAATAGGATGCTGAGGCCCTATGTCTCAGTGGTGTTTGCTACTTAGGGCAACTTTCTTAAATGTTCTTTCAATTTTTTTCTGTTTAATTTTAGCCCTAAATTTTTAAATAAGATTGTAAAAGCATGTGTGATTCTAAAATGAAAAGTTACATTTAGAGGGCGAGTGTTGAAGTAGAAAGAACATATGATTTTAGAACAGAAAAATTGAATGAATCTTACCTCTGCCATTTACTGAAATCTATAAAAATATTCTAAAGATTATATTATACTTTGTTATTCCAGAAGTATAGTGGATATTACTAGTACTGTGTGTACTAACCTTTTTTTTTTTTGTCAAATCACTTTTTTCCAAACTCTAAGGTATATGGAGGAAATTGTGGAGAGCACTTTGTCCTTGTTATCAGTTAAGCATGATCAAAGCCATCTTGTCTCACAGAAGATTTTGGATCCCATCTATTTTTTTGCATTGGTTGATACTAAAGCTGTGTGGTTCCAAAAGTGGATGGTAAGGAAAAATAGAATGGTTTTGCTTTGTCATGTAAGCATATAGCCAGGTTTATATAGTTGGTGTGTACTGAGTTCTAATTGCTTTTTTACATGTGTTAATGTATTTGATCTGTATAAAAATGTATGAGATGGTAGGAGTCAATACCCTGTTTGGGATGTGTTACCTGAAGCATGGAGAAGTTAGCTTGCCCAAGATTGTTTGCTAGGAAGTAAGAGTCAGAATAGGCCTTTAAATGGTGATTCATTTGAATCTATTTAGAATATTATCTATGAAGAATTTAATTTTCATGGATTTTAAAATAGATGTGGTAGGGCATAAGGATTCAGGACTCACTTTTCTTGGACTTAGAAGATAATGTCTAAAATAATATTCCTTTGTTTGCTTCTTCCTGAGCCTGTGCTTTGGGAATATGTTTAATACTTGAATCTGGCAGTTTCTATAGAAGCTTATTAAGTCTTGAAGCTGAAAGTTGTATTAAGAGCAGGGCCTTCCTATGCTGTCACTTCTGTTAACCTCTGTGGAACAACCTGTCTGTAGCAGTAGTGACTGCACCGACTCCACACTGACGTCTATGTTTCTCACTCTGTCTACCTGACTGTAGGTGTTTGTTGCAGTGGATCAAACAAGGGATAGGATTTGCCTGTACTCATTTATTACTCAGCATAGTATAAATATGATCTAGCTGATTTTTTTTTTCGGTCTTTTCTTATCTAAGGAATAAGGTGTATGCTCAGTTTATTAGAGCACAACTTTGTCTCTAGTACATAACCCTTCTTTTACCTACATAGTTATACAGTAGCATATTTTCTTTATTAAAACTGAGAAAAGACTGGGCATGGTAGTACATGCCTTTAATTCCAGGACTTGGGAGGCAGAGGCAGGTGGATTTCTGTGAGATAAAGGACAACTTGGTCTATATAGTAAGTTCCAGGCCAGCTGGGGTTATAGGTAGACCCTGTTTCAAACAATTAAAAAAAGAAAAAACAAAACAAAACAAAAACACAAAACAACCCCCCCTCAAAGAATGAACAAACAAACAAAAAACTGAGAAAGGGATTAATGGTTTTTGAAAACATTTAAGGCTAAAGGATTAAAACAAAGGGTTTTGATGAACCTTTGGTGAAAGCACTGTCTAATGAAGTAAAAATTCTGTTATCCAGAATCCTGATGAAGTTTGTGCTGGTGCTGTTTCTTTAATTCTTCTATTGTTTTTACATAAGATAAAGAAACAATTTTTTTAAGCAGAGCAAATGAAGAAACAAAATTTTAAATCCCAATGATGTCTGCCACAATTGAGCTAAAGTTTTTATAGTTTTCCCTGGTTTCTATAATGTTACATATATATGTATTTTATTTCTATGTATTTTGACACTAAGGAAATAAAGCCATATTGGACGAGTTATTCATTTAAAAACAATATTGGCATAAAGTGATTAAGATGTTGTCTTGTTGGAGTATTGTAACCTTTGTGAAGTTGTGCACATATAGATAGCACAAGCCTTTAGTGTAAAATCTGTAATTGTTTTCCTCCCTCATACATATTCCCCTTGGATTCCGTCATACACTGGTAGATGGGTATGCTATTCTGAAGGTGGTTTTTAAACTAGTTTATCATAGAAACTGGGCATAAGTAATGGAAGGTTCTCTCAACCCCTGTCTTCACCGAATGACCCACACAATTTTTTTATAATTCGCTTTTTTGTGATCACCACTCTTACAGTTCATTGTACATAGGAAAACCTGCTTGACGTTGATTATAATATTTTAAATCTGAGCTATTGTATGATTTATGATGTTAGAAATGATAGAGGAAAATAGATTTTGAATGGCATAGCTTGAGCATTAAATACTATTTCTCTTTAATTTCAGCATGCATATTACAGCAGAACTGCAGTACTAAGACTTCTTGAAAAGAAATATAAGTCTCTGGTAAGTCCACACATCTGCTTTTATGTCGAAGAGTAATACCATAGAAGATATATGAGAGACTATATTGGATGATGAAGCACTTCTTTTTTAAAATAATTTTTTTATCATTTTTTAAAAATTTTAATAACTATATGCTTAGAAGAAGCATTTCACTACAGATTTAACATAATTCAGTAACACACTCCAGAGCAAGAGTACATCTCTTTCACAAGTGGATGCAAGTTTCTAGGTTCACAGTTTCAGTTAATACAGTTATACAATATTGAACTCAGTATAAGCCCTGTAGGACATAAAATTGCATGAGTTTTTTCACCTTTAAAAAAGATCTCCATTTCATTTTAGAATATATTGTTCTTTGCAGAAAGACTCACTGTTTTTGCTACTAACACTGAAATGTTGGAGCATGCATCTGTAATCTGTATGCATCTGATTATTGCTTGTCATAATTGGTTGCACTTGGATCCTTGGCGCCTGTGTATGTCTATAAAGGCATCGGGTAGATTTCAGTGGTATTGTTTATCACCTCTACTAATTAGCATGATGTAAATTTGTTGATTTTCTTTATGTGTGTGTATATCACACAGAACATCCCAAACCATCTTATTCAACTATATACCCACTTCCCAGATGGCACCCTCCCATAGCCTCCCTTCCCCAACTAGAGCCCTTATGCTCTATTATCCTGGCTACTGTCTGCTATGTTGTCGGCACCCCCAGCCGTTCCCCACTACTTAGACCTTCTGGTGAATCTAGTCAGCCTATCTAGAGGTCTTTGTTTTAGGAGGGTCAGCTGTTCCACTTCTATTAACAATCAGTTGTCAATACTCCTTTAGATAAGATTAGGGTCTGCTGTTCATTTTCCCAGTTCTGTGCTGGGTTACTATTTGGGAATCCCTTTGGTCACCCTGGCCAACAACTTAAAAGAAGTTATATCCTATCTGGCATTATTGCTTGTTACGTAGCCTTTAGCTATGCATATGGACTCTCATGAAATTCTGTTGGCCCATTAAATCTTTGGTTATTCTTTCCTTTTGGGTGTTTAAGGCCATACAGTTGGTCCAGATAAACTGATTTATTTTTACTCTTAAGGTC